GGGTGTCTTGATGGTTTCACAGTTACCATTTAGTTCCGTGGTGATAATCCCGTGACTGTTGGCATATTTCTATTTACACCAGTTGATTACTGACTGTTGGCATATTTTTATTGCCCAAAGGATAACTGATCTGTGTGCATATTTCCAGTGGCACCAGTTGATGACTGACTGTTGGCATATTTCCAGTTGAACCAGCTGACACCAATTAATTTGCATATTGAATATAGGGTGCGTGCAGATCTATGTTTTTTTAAACAATTTATCTGAATTTACAGCATGTTTCTTAATTACTGATGATTTAGTTATATGCAAGTCATTTCGAAAATTCTACAAATATAAATTACCAGTTATTAGGAAATTTCGCTACTTCGTATAGATTACATTTAATTAAACATGAATAAGGGAAACATTAACTATGAACTAAAATAATTTAAATAAAATACAAGTATATGAAAAACTTTCGATTAATTAAATGATGTAAGTCTACTTATTACCAATGCATTTACATTAGAAATACAGACGTACCAGTATTGAAGTGTTGTTGCCGTTCAACTGGTTGGAAGTTTTACCAAATGGTTCTAATGGCTCATTTAGCCCATTTCAATTTCCAGGGTTACCAGTTGGCATTAACTGGTTCATCAACTGGACCAGTTGCAACTAGCTTTTTCTTCTAGGATGTTTGCACCCACGACCCCCCCCCCCCCCCCACCCTCTTATCCCAAACTGCTTCCGGCGCGCCTGGACGTATTTTATATGGAAGATCCAAAACACGATGTTCAGAAACGGGATGAGAACGTCATTATTTTGGTTCATTTATTGTGTAACATTTGCGTAATTATTGGGTTGAACGCGGGTAACAGTAACATATTTCCTCTTCGACGTAAATTTCACGTGAATGAAGAACATGATTCATCTCAAGTCAGCCTCTTAATATTCACGTGAATTTCACGCATATTTTTTTACTAAAACTATCACTAACGCTTCACGTGTTTCTGTGACGCGATTCTAAAACTTCTAAAGAAATGTGATAATTTCGTTAATGAAGATGTAATTTCATAACCAAACAAAAACGGAGTATTAGGTTTACAAACCACGGTCTCCAAGGTAGGGATAATCACGTTATTATTATGGTCATGTAACAGCAGGCACAAATGACACACGACGAATTCATTCAGAGTTTTATGTGCATGGTATTTATTTTGAGGATGGATCAACCCTTAACGAGACAAAAAGAAACAGTCAAACAGATTAGTTTTTGTTTCTTTCACATATTAAACATCAGCAAAACTATATGATCATTCATAGGAATAGATACATCAATGATAACTATTATGATCATTCATAGGAATAGATACATCAATAATAACTATTGCCCTACTTGGCATTTTCCCCACACTATAGAAATACTGTACATTTTGGATACTTTTCCATAAATGGTTTATAGTTACATTGTAACATCCAAAAGCAATAAGCAAGGTATAACAATAAAATGCCCAAATATGCATAAGTAATCATGAATACAGAAATATAAATTGCCTTTTTGTATAGTTCTCTTTACTATTACAATGACTCACCCCTCTTGAGCTCTCGAGGAGAGACTCCTAGCGAGACACCGAGACTAGAATTAGACCAACTAGATAGTGCACCATCTCCAACCAAATGACGAAGTAAGACCTCGACAACATTTAATGGTTACTTAAATAATAACTTCTATAACTTTCAAATTCTTAGAAAGTGACATGCAACTTGCAAGCTTTTGATATATAACAAATATTTTATATTCCCTACCTTTTCAAACTCAAGCTCAACAACTTTTACTTTGACAACCAAATATCAATAATGACAGGCGCGGATCCAGGGGGGGGGGCCGAGCGGGCCTTGGCCCCCCCCCCCGCAAAAAAAAAAGAGAGAAGAAAGGAAAAGAAGGGAAAGGGAAAGAGGAGAGAAAGGGAAAGAAAGAAGATGAAGAATAAAAGAAAAGGGGGAAGAAGGAGATCGGGGGGGGGGGGGGGAAAGGGCCTTGCCTCCCAGGCTGTTGACCCCTGGCGTACTGATAGAGGGGGGGGGGGGGCTTTGGGGGAATTCAAATTCAAACGTGGTTTATTTCTAATTACACAACGGTGGATTACAAATAATGCTGAAATGACATAATATCCGAGATTTTTCCTCACTTTTTGGTTAATTATACGTTTGTATGTGTTTGTTGGAAAATGACGAATTCCTAAATTTACAGCCAGGCAAGAAATATGATTCTTGAGATTCCTACATGTCAGGGCCCGAGGTACGGCGGGGATCGGGACCCCCGAGCTCCCGCCCCCCCCCCCCCCCCACTTTTTTGAAAAAAGTATATTAAAGAGAAATAAAATAGAATGAGAGCAAGAAAGAAAAGATAGTAAACTGCCAGTGTTAAAAAATAATGAGGCATCAAAATATGCTCATCTGACCGTGATTAATGCCTAAAATCCCCAGGGCTCCCGGGGCCCTACGGCGGGCCCTTAGATGCTCATCTGACGGTAATTTAATGCCTAAAACCCTTGATTTTTGGCGGCTCCGCCCCCTGGACCCCATGCCAAATAGTGACCTGCCAGTGTCACAAAATAATAAGGTATACAAAAAATGCTCATCTGACATTAATTAAACGCCTAAAACCCCTGAGCTTCCGGGGCCGGCTCCGCCGCCTCGACCCCACCAGGGGCCCCTGAATGCTTATCTGACCGTAATTTATTGCGCTGAGCTTGCGGGGTTAGACAAGGTATCAAAATGTGTTTATCTGACCGCAGGCGCGTAGCCAGGGGGGGGGGGAAAACTAAATTCCGATGAGGATTATTTTCGAGAACGGTACAACGAGTCGTCTTCTTTCTCTAATAATTTAATGAAAATTAAAAGCTTCCGCACTTCGCGCGAGAGGGGGGAACCTGAATCCAGACGAGGATTAAGAGTCGAGAACTGTACAACGAATCGTCGTCTTTCTCTAATGATTTAAGGAAATTTAAAAGCTTTCGCGCGGGAGGGGGAGGGGGGAGACTGAATTTAGACAAGGATTAAGAGTCGAGAACTGTACAACGAATCGTCTTCTTTCTCTAATGATTTAAGGAAATTTAAAAGCTTCCGCGCTTCGCGCAGGAGGGGGGAACCTAAATTCAAAGTCGAGAACTCGACAACGAATCGTCTTCTTTCTCTAATGATTAAATGAAAATTAAAAGCTTCCGCGCTTCGCGCGAGAGGGGGGAACCAGAATCCAGACGAGGATTAAGGGTCGAGAACTCGACAACGAATCGCCTCCTTTCTCTACTAATTTAATAAATCGTAAAATTTTCCGCGCTTCGCGCGGGACGGGAAAAACTAAATTCAGATGAGAATTATTTTCGAGAATGGTACAACGAATCGTCTTCTTTCTCTAATGATTTAATGAAACGTCAAAGCTTCCGCGTTTTGCGGAGGAGGGAGGGGGAAATCGCCTCTCCCTGCAACGCCCCCCCCCCCGCATTACGTCATTGTTGGTCACCATTACGTACCAATATTTGGCTCGCATAATTTCAATTTTGGGCCCCCCCCCCCCCTAAGAAATTCTGGATCCGCGCCTGAATAATGATACAAATTATCTCTTTACCTAGCTATTACTGTATCTCAGGTCTTCTTTTGCATACACAATACTTTATACAGAGAAGCACAAATCGTATCAGATTTAGCCTGATAGAGGTTTTCTAAACCAACTCATTATGAAAAGCAATTAATGATAGGCCTCTAAATATTGACATAATTTCACCTGGGTACTATACAGAGTTTTTCTCTATAGATTCTTCTAGTAGTATCACATAATAACAGCAAAGGAATTTGAAACACAACTCACAACTAAATACACTCAAGAGTTGTCAACTACACATGTAATCAAGTTTCCTCTATGAGGTTTCAATCTAATGATGCATGTCAAATACACTTAGAACTTACCATAGATGCTGCAGAAATACTTTTAAGTATGAACTTCTACTCAGAGTTAGCTTCTCTGTCAAATCAAACCTCCTAAGTCATGAGTGGATACATGGTCAATGCTCATACCTCTCAACCTGTGATGTGGCAAAATATCCTTTCTCTCATTACCCTATACCCTCTCTGACCCAAGGTCAATGTGAACTTCCCCTTTTAGGGACCACCATTCTTCTTTCCAAATCACCCCATACCCTCCCTTAGGGACCACCTCAGAAGTACACTTAAAGGGATCTCCTTATTCAGAGACATTCATTCAGGGACCTCCTCAACAAATAGAATTAAGAAACATTTCGACCTGTCACAGTCATATTGCAGTGACAATTGCATGATTTAGTGTACGTATGCTTTAAGTGCAATAAACGTATCAACACTATTATGTTCTTATAAAAGACCAGTTGGAGAGCTTTGATTGAACTAATAAGTTGTATAGCTTTATTGAGGCTCTGTGTCAGTCAGACATCTTTGTAGGCATCTCTTGTACAAGTACTCATTGTTTCATAACATGACCTGGCATGAGTCATGGGTTGCAGGTCATTCTATATTTAGTTATACATGCTAGTCTGTATTTGCAGACTCTGTTAAACTACATGTAGCTATCACTACACCTCCCTTCTTTAAAAGAGGTTTACATATACATATATAAAACTTTTTAAACTGTACAGAGTGACAGAGTGGACTATCTATACACTCGCGACTGTACTAGGGCATTATTCTGTCCCTTAAAGCTGGAGTACTGTCGCTTTCAAATATATAACTTATTACGCGACAGTCCATATCTTTCAAGGTTGCGATTCGCGAAACTGGAATTCTCCGTTGAGGTTGAGTGATATCTGTTGATTTTTGTAATCAAAGTGACTGATTAAATCCGGTTATATCTTTAAACTATAACATGCAAATATATATATCATGCTCATGCAATCCTGCAGTTATGTTTTAAAGTTCAAGTTGAACTCTGTAACTATAAACTATTTACAAAACGCGAAAGTCTTTCTCTGTAGTTCGCTTTCATTTATTTACAAGTTCAAGCGATCTGGCGGTTTAATCACTCGTCCGCTTCTGGTTCTGGTTGATGACGTAGTTGAGCTTTCTTCAGATGCTGGTTGCTCTGTAGCTTCTGCAGTGTCATCTAGCTCAAAGTCATCCTGTGTTGGTAGTGGAATAGACTCGGCTTGTTGTTGACGTGGGACTGGCCTGAGGTGACGTCTGTTTCTGCGACGTATCTCTCCTGTTTCTGTTTCGATCTGGTATGATCTGTTTCGATCCTGGACAGACCTGACAATACCACGTTTCGACCAGGTGTTGGTTTTCATGTCTTGGAGTATGACATGATCTCCAGGCTTTAGCTTTGACAAGTCTCGAGCCTGTTTGTCGAATCGCTCTTTTTGCTTCACCTTATGATCCTCCTTTCTTCCCCTCACCAATCGAGTATTGACCTGTTGGTTGTCGAGTAAACTGTCAAGCATGGGGAGATTCGATCGAAGTCGACGACTGTAGAGGAGTTCTGCCGGAGACTTTCCGCATGCTAGTGGTGAACTGCGATAGACTTGTAGAGCTCTGTGGATATCCTGTCCACTGTGCTGTGACTTCAATATGAGTTTTTTGACAATCTTCACAGCATTCTCTGCGAGGCCATTGGATTGCGGATAATATGGACTCGATGTAGTATGGTGAAAATCCCATTCTTTTGCAAAGCTCTGGAACTCTTGGCTTGCAAATTGAGGACCATTATCCGACATCAGTTCACATGGCGTTCCATGGCGAGCAAATACTGCTTTCATGTGGTTGATCACGGCCTTGCTACTAGTAGAAGTCATAGTACATACTTCAATGAACTGTGAATAGTAGTCGACGATGACCATGTACTCTCTATTGTTCAGCGTGAACAAATCAACAGCAACTTTTTCCCACGGGCGGTTCGGCACGTCATGAGGATGTAGACTTTCAGCTTGCTGTTTTGGTCTGTACATTAGGCATGAAGTACAACTTTGGACCATTTCAGTGATATCTGTGTTGATTCTGGGCCAATAGATGACTTCTCTAGCACGTTTCTTACACTTCTCGATGCCTAAGTGTCCTTCATGGATTTTGTTTAGCATGAACCTTCTCATAGTAGTGGGAACCACTATTTTGCTGCCTTTGAAGATGATGCCATCTGCTTCAGAGAGTTCACTCCTGATGTTCCAGTATTCCCTGACTCGAACTGGACATTGCTGCTTCGTTTCCGGCCAACCATCTCTGATGATGCCTAGCAGCTCTTGCAGTTGATCATCTTTCTTTGTCTCTTCGACAATCTGATTTCGTTTTTTCGATGTAACTGGCATGCTCTTGACAATAGCATCTACGTAGACTCTGATATCTTCCTCAGTTTCAACATTCAACTCAGCCTTTGGATCTACTGCTCTGGACAATGTATCAGCATTATACATGTACTTTCCAGGCGTGTACAAGACCTTGAGATCATATCTCTGTACCCTGATGAGTAACCTTTGAATGCGTAGGGGACAGTCACCCAGTGACTTTACAAACAGTGGAATAAGTGGCTTGTGATCAGTCTCCACTTCTACTTGTCGTCCATAGATGTATTGATGGAACCTTTCACATGCGTATGTGATTGCCAGCAATTCTTTCTCGATCTGTGCATATCTAGTCTCTGCATCAGTCATTGATCTAGATGCATATGCGATCGGAACCCAATCTTGATCATATTGCTGTAGTAGCACTGCACCAATACCATCCTTTGATGCGTCTGCTGACAGCTTGGTTGGTTTCTTGCTGTCATAGAAATGTAGGACTGGCTCTTGTATCAGAGCTTGTTTCAGCTGATTCCATGCATCCTCTTGTGCATGATCCCATGTCCATACATTCTTTTTGTCTAGTAGATGTCTCAGCGCTGCTGACTTGGTCGACAGATCTGGAATGAACTTCCCTTGGTAATTGATCATACCCAAGAACCGTTGGACATCTTTCCGACATTTCGGTCTCTCAATGTTCAAGATAGCAGACACTTTCTTTGGATCAGGTTGAACTCCTTGATCACTGATCAAGTCACCAATGAATGTGAGCTTCTTGACATTGAACTCGCATTTGTCTTTGTTCAACTTGAGATTCATTTTTCTCACAATGCTGAGAACCTCTCTCAATCTGTCATCATGCTCCTGTTGGGTAGTTCCCCATACAATCACATCATCCATCATTGTGTTAACTCCCGGAATGTGTGCAAACAGTTGGTGCACTATCTTGTGATAGACTTCCGGAGCACTACAAATACCAAAAGGTAGTCTCAAGAACTTGTACCTTCCGTATGGCGTGATAAACGTACAAAGTTTGGAGCTTTCGTCATCTAGTTGGATCTGCCAAAAACCACTAGATGCATCTAATTTGCTGAAGTATTTGGCTCCTGCAAAATGTGCAGTTATTTCAGCTCTTGATGGCAATTGATAGTGTTCTCTTTTGATTGCTCGGTTCAGGTCTCTTGGATCTAGACAGACCCTGAGCTGACCGTTCTTTTTCATCACCACCACGAGAGAAGAAACCCAATCAGTTGGCTCATCAACTCGTGTGATTACGTCCATTCGTTCCATCTTATCTAACTCGTCTTTGAGTTTATCTTGAAGTGGAAATGGAACTTTGCGACATGCATGCTGAACAGGATGTGCGTCCTCTCTCAATGTGATGTGGTGTTTACCAGGAAGACAACCTAGACCTACAAACACATCTTGATAGTCTTGAACTACACTTGAACTACCCGTTACGTGTTCAGTTTGTTTCTCAACATGATACACCCGTTTCACCAGATACAAGTCTTCACTCGTCCGTAATCCTAACAAAGGCTGACGATTTCCAGGAATGACTAGACACAGCACATTGCGTTTGATCCCTTTGTACTCAACTTGTACCCAACAACGACCTTTGACCGGGATATCTGTCTCATAATAACCTGTCAACATCACTTTGGCTTTTTGTAGCTTTGGTTTTGGTTTCAATTTGTGAAATACTGTCTCAGGAAGAAGATTCGCCTGAGCACCAGTATCAACCTTGAAGTCAACCGGCTGGTTATTGACTAGTAGATTATCTATCCATTCATCCTTGGATTCTTTTGATTCAACAGAGCAAATCATGAAACCTTCTGAATCTACCTCCAAGTGCTGCAGTTCATTGACCTTGGCTACTGGGGTTTTACAACATTTAGCAAAATGATTCTGCTTACCGCACTTCTTGCATGTTTGACCTTGTGCGGGACATTTGTCTTTGCTATGTCGGTTTCCGCACCTGCTACATGCATCACTTTTAGTACGACCTTGAGGTTCTGACCGTTTTGACTTTGAACCAGGAAATTTCTTCTTAGTCTTGCTGAAAGAATCTACCGGAATTGAGGCGTTTTCCCCTGCGGAACTCAACGCTTGAGCCTGCGTTCGCGTTTGTTCAGCCGCACGACATACTTGCAACGTTTTAACCAATGTAAGATCATCTTGCCTCAACAAACGTTCTCTTAGACCATCGTCTAAAATACCACAGATAATTCTGTCCTGGATAAGACTCTCTTTCAACATGGAAAACTCACATGACTGAGCACGACTCCGCAATTCTGTTGCGTACTGATCAACACTCTCAAGCACTAACTGAGATCTTGTGAAAAATCTATGTCTCTCATACGTTAGATTACGTTTCGGCATGCAATATTCCTCATATTTGTTCAACACTTTCTCAAGCTTCATGCTCTCACCCTCAGCAAATACAAACGTATTATACAATTCCAAGGCAGCATCGCCAATCACGTGTAGAAGCATTGATGTTTGTAACTTTTCATCTTTTTCAGACATTCCTGAGGCAACATTGTATAGAGTGAATTTCTGTTTAAATCTTCTCCATTTCTCGGAAATATTTCCCTTTAAGTCGAGTGGAGGAGGTTGACTGAGATTTGCCATTTTGTTTCTTTTTGTTTCTTAGCCTAGTGTAGTCACTCACATGAACAGCATAACAATTAGCTTTTTCTTTTTGTATCTTTGCAACAATTACTTTAAGCTCAACTATTAACTTTCACTGAGTTATTCTGTATGTTCATGTCCCATATATGTCACGCTTACTGCCCGTTATACTGGAACTGGCCCGGCACAGAACTATGCACTCCAATCCATACAACGACAGCGCTAACTATTATGGACATAACTACATTCACTGGACATACACTTAGACTCTAAGCCCTCTAGCTCTCATCTCTCACATCACAAAAAATTGGATTGAACTGGCCTGATTTCAATGATTCCTCCATATATATACTGTAAGCTGGGTCGCTCAGCACAAACACTGGCTGCTAAGTTCTGACACCATATTATGTTCTTATAAAAGACCAGTTGGAGAGCTTTGATTGAACTAATAAGTTGTATAGCTTTATTGAGGCTCTGTGTCAGTCAGACATCTTTGTAGGCATCTCTTGTACAAGTACTCATTGTTTCATAACATGACCTGGCATGAGTCATGGGTTGCAGGTCATTCTATATTTAGTTATACATGCTAGTCTGTATTTGCAGACTCTGTTAAACTACATGTAGCTATCACTACAAACACATTTACGTAAATGTCAGGTGTTTGAAGAACGTAAATCTCCTCAAGTCGATACCTTGATATTGACGTGATTTTCACGTGATTTTTGACCTCTTTTCTATGACTGCATACATGGGAAGAGTATTATCCGTAGCTGGAGATCGCGGTTCATTATATTTCATGCTGTTTTAGCTTGAACAACGTATATCTGATTACGACTAACTAGCAGCCTTTTCACACAAAGCTAAAATTCTATAAACATGATTAGTTTAAAGGGCTTTAAACTAATCACCTGAACATACGACATCATTCACACACAGAAATTTCGGTGCGATCGTTAATCGTTTCGTGATTAACTACTGCTCGTAAAATGCGCAGTAGTGCCATTGCGCATTGAAGGTCATGTCATATCAATCAAAGCGCACGCTCCATCCAGTTTAAACACGTCTGAAACACGTTTAAACACGAATAACCTTTCACACACAAAATGTCAAGCTCTCTAGATACGAACTTCGTATCTGCAGCCTGCATTAGGGGCGTATGAATCGCGACTTCGTATCTATCCCAACATCGTATACACGATGTTCACACAGGGAAAATTTTCTATAAACATGTTTAAAACTGTTGAGTTAAACACGTTTATACTAATCATCTCTAGATACGATGAATTTTAGCTGTGTGTGAAAAGGCTGTAGGTTTTACAAAAACACAAACAACACAATAACAACAACAAAGAATATTGTGAGGCATTCATGATAGGAAGTCTTACGTACATAATACGCACGATGTGTAATGCGCTATTTAAACATTCTAATATTCTATTCCACTTCTTAAGTTTTAAGTTGAGTATAATGTTTTTTTCTTTCCTTCATATATACTCTCCTGCGCATAATATAATAACCGCCGATAGAAAGATATAATGTCAGGTGTGACAGACATAACTTTGCACTGCAATATAAATTGTATACCCAACAATGTGATAATATTACCGTGTTTAGTATCCACTGTATTATCAGGGATTATATCAACTGTAACTTCCTGTAGTGTTGTATTTTGTGGAAAGTTGAGTGTTACCTTCCAAATCCATGGTATAGCATTATATAATGTTTATAAATGTTATAAATGTTTGAGTAACTTCACTATAATCGTTCATGTTTAGGAACGGATCAAAACTTCGAAATGGGCATCTACACGATATTCCTCTACTTGTCACCAATACTGGCGGTGACCGTTGCCTATAACAACCCAGGCCCAGGGACCACGCACAACATTACTGACATCTTGATCGGTAGATGCGAGGAATACCGGAAGTGCCTCCTGGGGGAGCCATGTCTCCCGTCCTAGTAAGTTTAAATTTTCTTCCTAGCCTTTTCTCATCTTTAATTTGTTTTGGTATAGTAATGTTCATCTCATTTGGAAATTCTTCGTGAAACCATTGGACTAATAAGGTGAAACCTTTCTCTTCTCATGTAGACTACTCTAGCTCACCTGTTTTCTCTCACCTTTTCCTTTCCACCTTTACTCTGTCTCATCACTCCCATCCATCCCTCCCTCCCCTCCCTCCCCCTCCCTCCCCTTTCTCTCTCTCTCTCTCTCTCTCTCCCTCTCCCTCTCTCCCCTCTATCTCCCCCTCTCCACCCCCTCACCCTCCCCCTCTCTCTCAACCCCTTTATCCCCCACTCTCTCTCATAGTCGCAATGTCAACTGTCGTGCAGCAGTGGAGTCCTTTTTAGGAGGCATTCGCAATGTGGATCCATGTTCTACCCCATACAACGCATATGATGAATTCTTTAAAATGGTCCCGCCCACCACAGTTCGTAACACGGTAAGTTTCATGCCTAATTAAGAAATACTTACCGAAAATGAACAGGGGCAGATCCAGGATTTTGTAAAACAGAAGGCACAATATTCTTAATTCTATTTGATAAACAAATGAAAAAGGTTATCATCGAAGGGGCATATTCTTAGAGCACTAGTTAGTTACTATTACTACTACTGGGGTATATATGCCACTTAGGTTTCTACAGGGGGGGGGGGGGGGCTGATCGGATGTGCCCTCCCTTTTCTTGGCCATTTCATTTTCTTGTCTTTAGTTTTCGTTATTTAGCCCCTCCCCCTTTAAGTGCCGAATTTGGTACGTGCCCCTTCCGCGTCCACCCTAAAATACGACTTTATACCAAAAAAAGTGATACACAATGTTATTAACATCTAAATTACCGTATGCGTTCGTAGCACTCACCTTACAATTGGTTTTTAAAAGGAGTATACAAATCAGGATAAACGTGTACACAGATTTAGACATGCATAGAGCAAGAAACATAAACAAGGATGACATTGGAAACAGGAAGGAAGAATGTATACAAATCTCCAATCTGTGGCTAGGAGAATTAAATAATCTACACGTAAATGTACATACCACAATCATGTCCCATATTCAAGCACAGAGTCAACAAGGAACTGTGTAATTTAATTGTCCCACTTTTTATAATTCGATCTATCCATGTATTAGGCCTACTTGCTTGGAAAGAAAGTTAGTGATATATACAATGTATCTCTGTTATTAAAAGTGTGTGGTGGTAAAGAGTACAATAGTAAAAGTCTGTTCATTAATTTCAAATTAAAACTACAATATTACATAGCAAATAAACGAAGTTTTTTATTGACGAAACACACAGAAATTTTTCAAGAAATGTTAAGGATATAACTATTTATTCAATAACTTGTGTCTGTTTTTATTATGTTAAAATGTAAATTGATGTAAATATATATGAAATGTTAAAATATGTGAAATAAAACAACTCGGTAAGAGGACAAGATAAACAAAATCTCTGTTATTAAATTTAGGTTAGCAGACTGTACTCGTCGTAATGGTTATAATACGACAAATTAGAATGAAAGCAACCAGTGTCGTAGCTACACGGGGCACGGGCTCATAATGTACCATTTAAAAAAATAGAGAGAGAGAAAATAGAGAAAATAGAGAATATCCGTGCATCAATAACACGTAGATATTTTACGACATTCGTTTGCAAAATAATGTCTACATGCCCCTCCCCCGCTCTTTCTCTTTCTCTCTAACTCTCTCTCGCTCTCTCTCTCTCTCTCTCTATTTCTCTTCCACTCATTCTCATTCTCTTGACTTATTTCTGTGGCGTTTTAGCGTTTGTTAGTAGTTTCTTATCCTTGTTATC